TTAAGGACAGGTTTTGTTTAACGTCTCGCGTCATGAGAACTCAAAAGTCCGACCGTATAATCTGTAGTTGGCCCTTTTCACGTGATCCGAGTCACTTTTCGTCACTCCAGAACCTCCACAAACTTGACCTTCACACTGCGAATGGCTTTGTCCCCAAGACCCTTGGTCCCTATGGACTAACCTAGTGCCGCAGCCGTGGACGAACCTGCTGACTCCACGACAGCTTCGACCGGAGTCCTGAATGTCTCCGATCGCCTACGTCACCAGCTCTCCGGCGGACTGTTGGTTAATCTCCACAAGCGCCTACAGAGATAGGCTGTAGAAACTAGCACACTTCTGGGGAACAACAGCAAACTATTTGTGGCGGCGCCGAGCGTCGTCACAAACTGCTGTTGTTGTGTCTGCATTATGTCGTCCACGTGCATCTTATTTCTATGACAGGTCCATAACCCAACGCCGCCCCGCCCCGCCCCGCCCCACTGATAATGAAGCTTGCTTTGTTGTCTGAATTGAATTTTCCGCTGGATGGTGACGGCTATGAAGTACTTTCTGACGGAAAATCAATGCAGTGAATCAAAAAACCAGGAATGTTCAGAGCCTCAGTGCACTGTACATCCAAGTTGTGGACTCAGCACCTAATAAAATTGAAGATTTGTCAAGAACACTTCAAGCATTTAGGCCGATTAGCCTTTTGAGACGACGGGAAAAGCCCTCCACAACATCAAAACATTCCGTGCAAATCATTCAGGTAACAAATAGTATTTTTTTATTATAAAACCATAAAAAAATAAGTATTTCAGTATTATTCTTCTCACAAGCCGTACTTTGCTTGCAGATGCCTGATTTCTGAGCTATAGCGCCGTGTATCCTGGTATAAGTTTACCGACGTTTCAGAGGTCCTTGCTGCCTCCATAATCAGGGCGATGTATCCCAAGTGGCGATTTCATTTATTTAGTTTTCCGACTAAAACACTGCCTGCCTTTCTCAACCCCCATGCGTGTAGCACGCATGGGGGTTGAGAAAGGCACATCCTCCTCCTTGGTTACATAATCCTTTTTATATGTGGTGAAGAGTTCGATTTATGAATCTTGTCCTCCAGTTTTTGAAGCTTCCATTCACTTCTTGGACAATATATCGTTTTCTCTTCAGCATTTTGTTGCCAAACGCCCTTCATCTGCGTTCTCTTACGACAGTTCAGAGACTAAGTCTCACGCCATCATGAAACAAAGGTTACAATTGTAGTAACGAGGTCACACTAACCAGCCACGGAGCAGACAAACTTTTCTGTTCACTGCATCTGCGGGGTGGACTTCCATTCCGAAGAACCTGCGCGGTGTATTGATCTCCACCCCCAGCGCCGAGACGGACGGCACAGGGCTGCGCGCGTCTGATCACACTCAAAAAACAGCCCTTAGTGGAAACCGACAATTCGTTCTGACCTATGTCACTAGCAACCCCGAGCCAGCCTGAGGGTCAATGCACTGCGCGCACACACACAACACGGATGACAAGCAGACGCCACGCTGGGTTCAAGTAACTGTTTGCATTGTTTGCACGAAATCCGCCAGACGACAGCGCATTGGGGTGTCCGCCCCTTTGCCCGAAGGTCTAAACTCAGAAATTACTGAAACATTTCGGACAAAATTATAATCTAATCTCGAATCACTTCGCTCAGATATAAACACCACTTTAAACAAAGCTCAAACCAGTGTTTATAAATGTAATCCGTAAACGACCCATGATACAAAATATTTGTTGAACAAATGAAATGTACGCAAACACCTTGTGGATCTCAAAGAACATTCCGATTGCGAGGTTTTCAGGTAGCGAACTCGGGGCGGATTGAATATGCCAATACACATCGAATATAGTCAGTGGATCTGTACATCAGATAATGGAGAAAAAAGCTCAACTGGGAATACCAGGGCCTTACTTACGGGAACTGCGCCCCGTCCGACACAAAGTCCAACAAAATTCATTTTACATCAGTCAGCACACGTCAACAAAGTCGACATGAAGAACAGAAACGTTACGCGCAAGGACACAAGTGAGATGATTTGAATGTTCTCGCAGCCCCGACGCCAGCAGCCAGCCAGCCACCTTCCAAGTCAACGAAACAATAAACCACGAAAGTTAACAGCGATGAGGAATACACAAAAATGTACGAATGGAAATCCTGAAGGAAAGAGAAGGCTCGAAAGACCTAAGCATAAATGGGAGGGGCATAATAGAATGTGGTGTGAGAGCGTACTGGGTTAAAGAGAATAGTGTTCCAATGGTGGGATCTTCTTACCTAGTAGAGCACAGAATATGTTTGAACCCCTAAGGGCATTTCGGAAGCATACGTATACACGCACGGAATAGCCAATATGAAATCAGTACAATGTTGCTTATACCACGTCCTTATTGCGCTGGAAACGTTTCACTGGGCCTTAAAGGCTAGTGATTTCCTGCTACGGTAAATAAATGTGTACAGAAATACGTGGAGTCTGTTAGTAGTATATTTTTTAGTTATTTATTTAGTGTTCTGTCTGACGACAGGTCCATAGGAACAGGATCCTTCCATCCTATTCTCGGACTGGGACCTGTTCATATACGTTCTTGGCAGATGATCCAGAAGTGGTTTGCCATTGCCTTCTTCTGTGTGTGAATGGAGGAATTGTTGGGATGCCACGGAGAAACCGGGGAAGCCCCCGGAGGAAAACTCCGTGTTGCCTAGACCACGGCCTTGCCCAACACAAGTTATAAATTCGGGCACCGCCGGGAATCGAACCCGCGACCCCAGGATTACAAGGCCAGCGTTCTAACCGCTAGACCACCTCATCTTATTATTATTTAGTGTTCTGTCTGACGACAGGTCCATAGGAACAGGATCCTTCCATCCTATTCTCGGACTGGGACCTGTTCATATACGTTCTTGGCAGATGATCCAGAAGTGGTTTGCCATTGCCTTCTTCTGTGTGTGAATGGAGGAATTGTTGGGATGCCACGGAGAAACCGGGGAAGCCCCCGGAGGAAAACTCCGTGTTGCCTAGACCACGGCCTTGCCCAACACAAGTTATAAATTCGGGCACCGCCGGGAATCGAACCCGCGACCCCAGGATTACAAGGCCAGCGTTCTAACCGCTAGACCACCTCATCTTATTATTATTTAGTGTTCTGTCTGACGACAGGTCCATAGGAACAGGATCCTTCCATCCTATTCTCGGACTGGGACCTGTTCATATACGTTCTTGGCAGATGATCCAGAAGTGGTTTGCCATTGCCTTCTTCTGTGTGTGAATGGAGGAATTGTTGGGATGCCACGGAGAAACCGGGGAAGCCCCCGGAGGAAAACTCCGTGTTGCCTAGACCACGGCCTTGCCCAACACAAGTTATAAATTCGGGCACCGCCGGGAATCGAACCCGCGACCCCAGGATTACAAGGCCAGCGTTCTAACCGCTAGACCACCTCATCTTATTATTATTTAGTGTTCTGTCTGACGACAGGTCCATAGGAACAGGATCCTTCCATCCTATTCTCGGACTGGGACCTGTTCATATACGTTCTTGGCAGATGATCCAGAAGTGGTTTGCCATTGCCTTCTTCTGTGTGTGAATGGAGGAATTGTTGGGATGCCACGGAGAAACCGGGGAAGCCCCCGGAGGAAAACTCCGTGTTGCCTAGACCACGGCCTTGCCCAACACAAGTTATAAATTCGGGCACCGCCGGGAATCGAACCCGAGACCCCCCGGATTACAAAGCCAGCGTTCTAACCGCTAGACCGCTAGGCCTACCGGTAGTTAAATCTCAATGGTTAGGCTTCGTATGTGTTTTCTCTCCAATGTTGAACATTTCCTGCGTATGCAATGGATTAAAATCAACTGAGGCTTTGCTTTTCTTTGTAGACCACCTATAATACTCTGTGTATTCTACGTTGGGAACTTTCGTATATCCGATGCGAAATAATGTGTCCTCCGAGGTAACACCGCGAGTTACATTCGTTTCGCTTCTGTTGTTTGTGTTTGTTTCTGCTAAATCACGGCAGTTTCTTAACTCTTACTTCCGTCATTCTTAAAATACCACGAAATTAATCAAAAGATACAGAAGCAGTCTTGAACCAAGTTCAATTCATTTGATAGATTTTATTAGTTCCACTTGAGATTCACTTAAAACATTTTAACACTCAAATTCAAAACTGAAAATATAAAAAATAACAATATTTATTCAAACATTTCCTAGAATAAGGAATGTGTGAGAACATGACGTAAAAGTTTCCTGCAAAATGGCTATACGTACGTAGAAATACAGCGAGCAGCTGAGGTAGAACAAAACACTTCTCAAGCAGTGACATGCTCTAATATCATTCTTACATCTACGCCTAGGTCTTGACGAGCAGGTTTTCCAAATGAAATTCTGACGTCACGGATTCCCCTCTCGGTTCATTATCCGTAATCTGATCACACGTGTAATTTGGCGAAGGGCACAGATTATTAAGCTCCCCGAGAATATATTTTCCAGCATCGTCTCTCTTGGTCCAGATGTCACTCTCAACACCGCGTTCACACACGCGTCTGTTCAGTGCGGCAAATACATCATCAGAATACACGCGGGTGCACTACCGTAAAACGGAATTCTGGAAGATTAGCGATTCACGATGCTGAGCTGGTCCAAGGCAGCGTGCAACCCCAGACTTACGTGCTCATAATTTTGATTCTTATTCCTGCCTACTGTCCCGCGCCGTAGCCGCGCGGTCTGAGGCATCATGCTTCGGACCGGCGATACGGAATGCGCGCTGGTTCGAGTCTCGGGGGAGAAGAAATTTTCTCATGAGCTTTCGACCAGTGTATGGGACCGGTGCCAACCCAGCATCGTGAGGAAATTGGGGAGCTACAATTAGTAGCGTAATCCGGTCAGGAAAACTAGCAATGGCTGGGGGTTCGTCGTGCTGACCACACGTCATCCTATATCTGGTTGGATGATCGTTCACCTCTGCTTAGGCATGTGAACGTGAGGCCAGTAGTCAAGCTAGTCGGCTTTGGCTCTCTGGAGCCGTTACGCCACGGATTTAATTTAATTAATTCCCGCCTACTAACTCATAACTAACGACAAGAAAGTCGCCAACCACATAAACGCGAACACAGCTCCGAATAAACGAATTTATAACTCTTATTGGTTCTTAAATAAATTGTGATCTAGCTTTTACACATTTATGAACTAGCATTAATTCCGTTACAAACAGCTCACAATGCCCCAATTAATTAATCAATTAACGAACTCACTTTTGGGACAATGTTGGCTATTGATTCAGTTGTTTCGGGGATGTACAAAATATTAAGGCGTGGAATTTCCTTTATAGGCGCCTTACACATTCCTTGGAGAAACGTTCCAGGTTTTCGGGAATTAACTCGCATTTGATGACAGACAAAAACTCCATTTTTCATGTCCCCATATTACGAGCATTCACAGGACAGAATTAATACCTGCATAAAAAAGGGTTTCTCACTCGTCCTCTCAGTAGGGCACTGAACATGCTGTTATAACGCAGTTGGTGCTTCATGATCCTCGATAATGGGTTGCTATGGTAACCCGCACGCCTCAGCCCGGACTCCCGTTCACTCACAACTTTAATTTACTTGAAGAGTTTCGCATTCTAATTTGATGCCTTAAACAAACATAAAATTGGATTACGTATTACCTACCGACCGTCAATTTTAAAACAAAAGAGTATGTCATCGGAATTAAATCGTAAATTTGTCTTCCGGTAAACAGAAAGTTTGCACAATCCCCTCAGAATAATTAGCTGATTCAATCTGGTTCTCAAAATAAGGTTGGGATTATTTCTGAACACCAAAAATACTTTTGTTACTGGTGATTCACTACATTTTGTTCGAGGACAAAACAGCGTTTTGAAATTACTTAGATGAGATTATACTACTGAGTAGACTTGAGTCCTCCAAGTATTAAGTGGCTAATATCATATTTCGGTACTGTGGGTGTATCGCCCAACACGTAAATGAAATTTGTCTCATGAATTGGCGCAGTGCGTCGCTTGTACATTGACGCAGAACCCAATCCTGCTGGAGCCAACTTTAATTTGTTCCTTGTACCGTGATTACAACTGTTTTCATGTTACTAGCTGTTGACACACAAGAAATGTTTGTAATATATCTTGATGCAAATATTCATATTCCATATTCATATGCTCCATCGTTAGTAGACTGAACGCCAAATGGAAATGAGTCCCACGTCATGGCATGACAAAGGTTTATTTATTTCGAACGCTGTTGCGACCCTTAAAGCCCTAGAGATATTGCCTACCCTAACCTAACCTCACATAATCTAACCTAACCTATTCTAATTTACTCTAGCACCTCAAGCATTCACGCACCCTCGTTGTCCTTATTACCGTTTGTAGGAAACTAAAATGTAGGCTTAAGTGGTTTCGCAAAGATCGATCAACTAAATTATAACTGTAAATCTGATAAAGATAGATGCAGAGCGCGGATTTCGTAAGTCTGCTCTTTAAAGAATGAGGAGTGGTCTGAAACTTGTTATAATCGTCAAAACGTCTGAAGCCTCGATCTATGCCTACGTGAAAGTACTGAGTAAAACAACCAGAACATCCAGACTAGGGACAAGGGACACGTGCACCAAAGCTGAAGATTTTCAACGTGTGGTATGTTTCAAATTTTAAATTCAAAGCCGCCTATCGGTTTAACGACAGGACCACTGCATCGCAAGTAGAGACCATTAAAGTGCATGCACTGTTTGAAGCAGAAAGCATGGATTAGGTGTCAGCTACAACACCGCGCACATCCCCAAAAAACAGAACGAAAATACACAATGTTAAAGCCACGAACCCTGGTCCGTCCGTCGAATGAACCCTACCTGCGCGTAAGCTACAGGATTCCAGAGACATCGAATGTTTCCTGAAGTCAAGTGTCCGTCTTCTGTTCAAAAATTATACGGGTCTGCCGACCTCATGCAATCCGGTAAGACGAATCAATGCCACGCCCCCATATCCTTTCGGAGTTCAAAAGGCAGCCATTGTTACATCTGCGCGTGTGTTTCCCTCAAAATCAATTCAGCAGCTGGCTTCCTGCGAAGATAAGATGACGGACTTCGGATGGCGTGCCACATCTGATAGCCACGTCAAGTCTGATCGTGGGGCAACTCAAGAAACGCTGCCGTACGAATGCCATCCCTGTCAGTTTAGGTACAATATAGCTACCCTGCTTTGCATAAATGTCAAATGATAACTCTTCAGCTCACCTGGCCCGTCAAAGTACGCATCGCACAGCGAACATCTTGCTACTCATTTCCTCGCCTTGCACGTGATTGCAGGGGGTAAAAAAGAGCTCCCACGGATACAGCACACGGCGCGTCAGTGATGCCAACTGCAGGGAAACGGGAAACATTAAAACTTGCAAATTAGACAGAGATTACCTTCTACGCAGAGGTTCATTACTGGCCGTAACGTTACGCAGTTACCGTCCTCAGGTTCAGTGTTTGTATCGGCAGCGGAGGAAACATCACTTTCTTTCAGCTCAATGAAACTACGTATCAGTCAATAGATTCTTACCCGGTGTCCTACGTGAGCGATTAAATGCGAGCGGTGCGAGTTCCGTGGGTGAAGCGGAAATATCAAACTGGCTGTTTGTGTGGCGCTGTCCTATGTTACAGCGAAGCGGTCAGCGGCCAAAGTCCGAGATCAAATATTTTGATATTTTCGCGCGAGTCGCTGCGCTGGCCAGTAAGGCGCATGCGCAAGGAAGCTCTGACTGTGCAGTACAGGGAAGGGGCATGCGCAGGAAGGCCGTGTGTTTCTCTCACGTAGGACACAACAAGCGATTCCCTTATGTCATGACACCCCATGCTACTTATGCAGCTCGCATAGCTCGCTTGTTATCGCTTACGTAGGACATTGCCTTCAAGGTCTTCACGGTGAGGTAAAACACCATGAGTATGCCATACTGTATATAAAATGGAGTCGGAAAACATTTCTTCATGGGGTTTAAAGTAGTAGCCTCTGTAATGGCCTGTATTCCGGTTGATTTCCTATCACCATGGAGACCACAACCTCCGTTAACGCACATAAACTGAACGTGATATGTCGTTAGTAACTGCAAGAGTTAGCGCGGGGACATTTGACGCCGATAATCGGCGTATTAATAACACTGACATATAATACACACCTTGTGTGCAAACAGAAGTCAGCTGGGGTCTGCAGACTTTTCGACAAGTTCGGCTGAATGATTGCGGGAACGCATAATAAATGTAAGCTTTCAGTTTAAGATTACAGCACACTTTTACTGACGTGGCCTATAAGAATACGTCCAAAAATTTTCCGATTTCTGCATGGCAACACGCTACCCTGACAGATCTTTCGTTGTTTTACTCAGTTGCCCTTGGAAAATGCCATTTGGCTGTGGTCACTTTCTTCCGTAGTCTCAAATTCATTATTCATCCTACAGTTCGACTCCATTTATTCAGAGCTGCTTATACAGACGAAAAATAAACCAGAAATAAAAACGAATTTCGTAAATAACTTGTCGGATAATTATAGACTATTTGGATATGGTATTCTGGGTAATAACACCGCCCTGAAGACGGGAGCGGCATGATCATCCGAGAAGTTGGCTTATACCTATTAACACTTCGCAATCACAACTGACACTTCAACGCCGTGAGAAACTGATGGCTCACAGGACAGTTCACCCACAGACACTTGTTCCAAAGGGCAGTATCAAGTACAACGGCCCTAAGGTCGATTCATATTCTACCACACGACGCCGTCCTCCAAGCGCCTCCTGCCTGCTTCATCTGGCTTTGCGTTACCGCCAGTTATTATTATTATTATTATTTAGTGTTCTGTCTGACGACAGGTCCATATGAACAGGATCCTTCCATCCTTTTCTCGGACTGGGACCTGTTCATATACGTTCTTGGCAGATGATCCAGAAGTGGTTTGCCATTGCCTTCTTCTGTGTGTGAATGGAGTAATTGTTGGGATGCCACGGAGTAACCGGGGAAGCCCCCGGAGGAAAACTCCGTTTTGCCTAGACCACGGCCTTGCCCAACACAAGTTATAAATTCAGGCACCGCCGGGAATCGAACCCGAGACCGCCAGTGACGAAGAAAAAATAAAACCACGGGAAATAAATTAATACGCGGCAGTTTCTTGTAAAACAAAAGAAGGGGGATACTTCGCTTCATACGAAGAACGTGCGAAAGATTCTGTCAGGATTCACTCCTTCAGAATTCCAGGATCTATGTTTCCTAATCGTTATCTCTGACAGAAGATCTGGCGAATAAAATACATTTTGCAGGCCAAAAAACTTAGCACTTTGCTCAGATTGTAAACACGTGATCATTGAAGTACCTGCAAACAGTGTCTCTCAATTCTTCAATTGGTATAAGACATTTTCCACCGTATTATTAGCTCTAGTAGATGACTCACACCACACACTCATATAAAGAGCCGAATATTCTCATATCACAAAAAGGAAGAAAAAAACGCTTCAAAAGAAGAGATTAAACGGTCCTGAACAGAAGCCACTTCTCGGAGGTAGTGAAAGCTCGACACACGTAATATTTGCAGATGAAGCATTCCCATAGAACTCTTGCCTTTTAAGGTCATGCCCCAAACCGAAAATACTGGGAAATCAAGAAAACAGCGTATTTAAATAGTGTGAGAATAGTTTCAGAAAATGTCTTCGGTATTCTAACAAAAATAAAAAAAAATTAACTTCAAGCGGTGTTTAAAACTGAACGTAGAAAACGTCGATTCCGTGATCTTAACCACACCACAAAATTATCTTAGATTTTAACACACGACGTTCAGAAAAATGTGATTCCAACGCAACTCCCCAAAACTCTGCGGGTCGAAGCGGTTCTGCACAGAACCACGGCCTGGCAATTCGAGATTCCATCAGGAATAATTTTTCTTGCTATTGGTACGCGTAGGGTTGAGTGGCAAGAAACGTCCAGTTGAAAAATTAGCCCTTTGGATCTAAGAAGTGAATGGTTGCCCAGTGACAATTATATATATATATATATATATATATCTGTCCCACTATACGCCATGTTGGTCGCCTTAGGGGAGAGGTAGTATAGCTCCTACTTATTCTTAACCTCAGCACTAGATAGGGGTGAGTGGTCAGCATCACGCCCCGGCCGCTCTTTACCCCCGGGAAAGGACCCCGGTACCCAGTGCCCGATAAACAGGAGGCTGGGTGAGCCGTGGGACCGGTCTGAACGCAGATGCTAGAGGAAAAATCCTCTGCCCCCCAATCGGTGATGGAACCTCGGTCGTCCAGTCTGTAGCCAGCCACTATATTGACTGAGTTACGCATATACATTTATTAATAAACATATATGCAACGTAAATGAATGCATTCGTATCTGATTGGTTCAATTCAACCCCACCTTAATACCAAATTTTTCTTTCAGCTTAACGTCACTCTACCTTGGATGATTTACGTCATAGAGCAGCGAGTATGCACTCAAAAGCTCAGTCATCTACTCGGTTTTCATTGGATGTAGCGCTGTGTAGCCTGATAGAAGTTCACCGACTTTTCAGAGATACTTTCTGCCTCAACCACCATAGCCTTGATGATGATGTAGGCAGCAAGGACCTCTGAAACATCGATAAAAACAATTTTAATAGGCCACTGCGGGACGTAGTGCTCCTGAACCACTCCCTTCCGGTACAAATGATCGTTCGATGAGTTCGGCGGCAAGCGCATTTATCTCTCTCGCATTCCCGTGCAGATTATCCGACGCGTAACTTCAGAATTTCTGCACCTTCACAGAGGTTTCTGATTTTTCGAATCCCTCCAAGCAAATTTTGCGATTGGTCCCTGAAATAGGCTACGACCATATTTTAGAAAATTACATCTGCTCCCTCCACAAATCTGCATCGTCACATCTGCAGATAAAGTATCCAGAAACGTCCTTTCGTTGCCTAGGAAACAAAGGGTAGTTCATAAATCTTGTTTCCGTCAACCAGACTTAAGATTTCTTTATATTGTCTTGTTCAATGTGATCCAGACAGCAGCCTTCCTTATCTTCCGAAACTGAGAATTTTAAAACAAGTTATTCATTTCTAGTAACTTCAAATATTACTAGCAGCGTTATGACTCATTCAGTAAAAACAGAAGTTCTTTAAAGTGTTTTTTTCTGCGTCATCTCTCTCAAGTCTCAATACACTCTTCAGTACTCAACTGGCAAACTCATTAATTCTCCAAATTATTCTTTACAGACTCAATCAATAAAATGACTACCTATGGCTGGACGACCGTGGTTCGATTATTAACAGGAATGGGGTCACCTATCCAACAGATGTCAGGAGATAATTGGCTTGGAGGTGACCCCCACGCCAATGACGAGGTTCAGAATGCATGGAGTTTAACCTCTGCTCCCTCTTACGACTTCCGCTGTGCTAAGGAAACAGGTGGCGAGAAGCTTCCATTCCGAACGCAAATTAGTGTTGAGGGCCAATAAAAAATTGATAGTGGAACCACGGTTCCGGAGAATTTGACGTAAATACGTCTATACGGAAAGTAACTTTATATATTGGCTTCATTCTAAATACTTCCTTTATACCCGCTTTACAATTGAGTAAAGTTTGATTAAGACATTGCTTATTCAACTTCAATTAGTTACGCTTAAGATGGGTCTGTGGTAGCTGAATGTAATGTAAAGTAATGAAATGTAAAAGTAAGGTAATGTAAAGTAATGTAATGTAATGTAATGTAAGGTAAGGTAATGTAAGGTAATGTAATGTTTTATAGGTAACAACAATGCCGAGTAAACAGATGACGTTTCCTAGGTAACAAAAATGCTTGAATACTTAACTTGAATTAGTTACGCTTAAGATGGGTCTGTGGTAGATGAATGTAATGTAAAATAATGTATTTTAATGTAATGTAATGTAACGTTTCCTAGGTAACAACAATGCTGAGTAAACAGAAGAGGTTTCCCAGGTAACATAACAATGAAGTTACACTTTTTCGTTTCCCTTTTTCGTAACACTTTTTTGCCGAATGACCCTTCCTCATAGACGTATTTACGTCAAAAAGACTTCAGGGTCGCTTACACTAACAGAGTTCCAGACTATGTGGCACAGTTTCGACAAGCGAAATGCCATCTGACGGTTACCTCTTCCTGTCGCGACAGTTACAAGGAGAAGAGGAATTGTGTATGGGTAAAGTCTGCAAATTGTCACGGCCAACAATAAATCCACTTAAAAAGTTATATATTGTTTAAATCTTGTCCGTCATATTTATTATTTCACAATATGACGCAACTTTACCATCTCTTAAAAAGTTATGTTACAGCCCTGAATGCATGTTTCGTTAACCTAAAATAATGACAACCCGGATCACGTACTGCATATCCGGCGTTGGAATTAATCCACGCGTAGCCTACAAGAATCTTCAACACGCGCTCTCTTCAAAAAAGAAAGAGAGAAAAATACTAAAAGTCTACCAGCATGTTCGTGTTGATGACGTTCCGGATGGGTGAGGAGTTTGGTTTGTAAGCTTAATTACTGTGAACAAAATCACACGTAACATTTTATAAGTGTTCGTGTTAAATTAATGAACAATAATACGTTCTTGATCTACTAAAGTGAAATCGTCATTAAATTTAAACCAATGGGATGACCTTGCTTCAATCCCGTTTATGACTCATCTTTCCACCATCAAAGCGATGTAAAGAGGTTCGTTTGTGCGTGTTTAAAAGAGAGCTTCGCGCACCGAGTCATGCTGCTTTAAATAACGAACTGTCTTTTGACTCTAAATGCGCACACTCAGTGTCACATTTGAATCCACACGGAATGCATCCGTTAACTGGGTCAGACTCAGGCGAACAACGTTAAGGAAAAGTGTTTCTAAGATGGACGTGTGGTGACGAACCTTTCCTGCGAGCATTCAGCAGCGTAGAACAATGTACGTGCGAGCATTTGGTGTTCCGTAGCAGAACGGTAAACGTCGAAGCGGACAGAGTCCTTCTACGTACCACGTGCGTGCTTTGTTGTCAAAAGTAAACATTTTATATGTAATATATATTATATTTTGACGTAAATACGTCTATATTTTAGGGTCAGTGTTATTCGGCAAAAAGTGTTACGAAAAATTGTTACGAAAAAGTGTTACGAAAAAGGGAAACGAAAAAGTGTAACTTCATTGTTATGTTACTTAGGAAACCTCATCTGTTTACTCAGCATTGTTGTTACCTAGGAAACAATATATGAACTTCCTTTCCGTATAGACGTATTTACGTCAAATTCTGCGGAACCGTGGTTCCACTATCACTTTTTTTATATATTATTAACAATGAAACGTAATGTATTCATATCTTGTTAAATATATTATGTAGTATTAATTTTCGGTTAACAAACACATTTTTTCCTTATAATTTTTAATTACGTAGTCTATTCATAACTTCGTTTGGGCATGGATGCCAAAGAGAACAATTTCAAATGTAACAGAGCCACAGGAATGGCGGGAATATTTATGGAGTGCCACGTCAAAGATTAAAAGAATCAAAAGAAGAAGAAAAACGCCTCGCAAGGAATTTCTTTCCAGACAGGAACTGATCTGGACATTGTTGTAAATTTTTTTAAGTATTTTATTAATCTTATTTGTTACAATTAAATCTTTGTGGCCAAACATTTACAGCTGGGACGGACTAAAAGATTCTGTAAAGAAGTTTCGGTCAAACTTCTGCACTTCGAGTGTTTGTCAACATCGTTCACAAACGCTGTTCAATGTTCCCGTTCGTCTGAAGCCACTTCAACCGTTTTAACCTGCTGATTCTCATGTTTACCTTTTGATGGCGCTGTGGGCGGAGGTGAGATACGACATGGTGCCGTCATCCCAGTAGATAATAATGCAGGACGAACCACTACACACACGAGCACTAGTTAGTGAGTGAAACGCACAAATGTAAGCTCACGACCACTGGCTGCTTGTTTCTGTTGTCACCCGCAGGAGCAGGCCAAGGTGAGCAGGCCCATGTAAATATAGCAAATAGGTCCGTGTGGGAGACAGACGACGTGAAGCTAGGAACACACAGGCTCGCCAAAATAACTCCGCTTACCTTCCCAGCACATTGTTGTCGCGGGCGGGGACGGGGGCTTCTCACAGTGTTGCCAAACTAGGCTCTGTCAGTGTGTGATTGTTGACTGCCCAACAATGTCGTCAGTTTCGAGAAGAAATGTTTTTGCTGCAGAAGCAACAGTGACAGTATAGCTTCAATATCCAATTAAACAAACGAAATAATATTTGTGTAATGCACTGAGCACTGAACTTGTGTTGGGCAAGGCAGTGGTCTAGGCAACACTGAGTTTTCCTCCGGGGGATTCTTCCCCGGTTTCTCCGTGGCATCCCAACAATTACTCCATTCACACACAGAAGAAGGCAATGGCAAACCACTTCTGGATCATCTGCCAAGAACGTATATGAACAGGTCCCAGTCCGAGAAAAGGATGGAAGGATCCTGTTCATATGGACCTGTCGTCAGACAGAACACTAAATAAAATATAAATAAAGCAGATACTTCGTTCTGTGTTATTTTAATCGGGTCTCAATTTTATGTTTTCATTTAGTTTGGGTTTGATTCATATTCCATTTTATGCTTCGTACAATGCATTTCACTCATTAAGAAAAGTTACTTCTCGGTAATTTTGATATTTAACAATTTCAACAGACATTTCTCGCGCCTTTCACTTGACAATTAAGGTACGAGGTAAGTGAAGTTTCACTTGTTTTCGCCCACACGGTGTTGCCAAATCTCAGGTACTAATTTGTCAGTGTGGTGTTAATTTATGATGAAGAAATAGAGGATAATTCGATTGTCTGAAGCCATGTTTTGTATTTTGTGGCACAGTTTTTGTTTCAATACATTTATTGTATTCGACAAATTCTAAACTGGTACTTTCTGTGACCTACAATTTTGGTTAGACAGTTAATTTACGGCTTAAGAAAACTGCAAATTTTTTAATACATCTGTCCCCATTGTTGACAACAATGTCAGTTGCAAAAATGTATTTAAATCCCCAAGTTTACATTTCAACAATAGATATTAATGTTCGTGTTATTTTTTGAGCGTTAAAATGACTCTTTCTAAACAAAATTAATTATAAAAAGGAAAATTCTGGAGTAAGTGCAATATGTAAATGAGCAATGCCTGCTGCCATAGATTATCATGATCCCGGCGCTGCCCTTGCGTTACGTCATGAGAAATTATGACAAGGGCTGTCGCACTGAATTTCACATATTTCAGTGAAATGGATACTCCACTTAAGGCTGTGTTTCTCGAAACACGAGACAAGATTCAGGACAGCGTTTCCAGATTAATGAAAACTTTTATGAGCGAACGCAATTTAAACAGTCTATATGAGGAACCTCGACAAATATTTAAATGCGATGAGACTGTTGTCTCACTGTCTCTGTCCGAAGGGGATGACTGTATCAACAATCAACAAGTGCTAACTAAAACTGTACACTGTGTACACAGACAATGTTGGGAAGAAAGTGTTGACCACTGCCAATGCTAGGTAATTGGATCGGTGTGGATTTTGGATTCGACAAACCTTTGTTGTTCGATTCTTGTTTTAATTTTC